CAGTCTTGATAAAATAAAACATCCTTCGTTTTGTAAGGATACTTAGCTGTGATCTAACAGTTCAAACTGTATTCTCTGTAAACATTGAATAAGCAGCTTTTCGTCATATATATATATATATATATATATATATATATATATATATATATATATATATATGATAGCATAGGTTTACTTGAACTATATATTGTTGCTGAATATTGTAAACCAGCTACGAAAATTTAGCGGACAGTAGAGCTCATATAAGCACATAGGTTTAAGTGTTCTGTTAAAACACTAGTTTATATTGACCTTAAGTGATCAGATAGAAGATCAAGTTCAAATCCAACCACTGGCTATCACCGAAGGCGATGTCATCTAATGAAAGAGTAGATTAGAACAAAATTAAACTCAGACTTACCAAGACATGACATCAATTCATGAAGTCACTTAGTGTTAGATAGATGCATAATAATACATGTAGATTAACTGGTATAAGTCTAGGCGATTATTATAATGAATGGTTGAAGATGTAGAATGCTATGACTCAGTATCGGTGGGAATATTGAAGATGTATTCATTATTTGTTTCCCCTAAATCTTGAGTTTTGAAATTCTTATGCCTTTAATCTTCAGAATTCATTCCTTCTTCTCAAGAGATTGTCTATAATTAATATTTTCTTCCACTACTAATACTATTGCTATCTTGATTACTCTAACCCTTTTCTTCATATTTTCATCTCGCTGTTCTGATATAATGTAGCAGCTTGAACTGACGCATATGTATACCAGGTTCAACGTTATTTCTGACTTAATAAGTGACTAATAGATTGTCATTGTATTCTATTGAAATCAAGTAGTTATTAAACACATCAATAGAAAACGAATTAATAGTCAAGTCACAACTACTCAATCTATCCTAGAAAGTTACAATTCTTTTTAAAGTCGTAGAAGTATCTTTATTTCACAAGTATTGAAATATTAAGAATCTAGTTTAGTTGATCCACTTTGTTTTACTAAATCCTTTAGAATGGAAATTTGATTTAAGGAGAAAAAAAGTGTAACTGTTTTCATTATTCCCATGAACACAATCCTACCCGTCTATATATAATTCATTTTGTAACCAATTGAAGAATAACGAAATTCAATGATGATATTCTCTAAAACATGAAAAAAATGTACGATTTGGATCAATTTTAATATGAATAGGCAATGATCTCTTTTTGTGTACAAATATTCAGTATAGATTCTGAAGGTGTTTTGTATCTAATGATTGATACGTTTACATCGCTTCATATGCATAATGTTAATAGGTTTCATATAAATTGAAAATACATTGATAAAACTCATTAAAAATTACCAAATCGTTTTATTTTGATTTCTGTCAACTCATTGGACATAAAATATGCTAATGCATTATACATTTTAATTATTTTTTGAATATTTGATTCTTCAGTCTAAATTCGCTTACATTTTTTATGATCCATTTTTCATCACAAATCGATATCGGTTTTAGAGTTATAATTCTTCTTTAGCTTAATAATTTAATCAATTTCCAATATAGGTAAGCCTGCTTGAGCATCTGGGCTACCTGTTCCTGCCATCTAGATATTTCAACAAGTTATAGATTTTTGTTTGTTTTAATACATCATTATGTTTATGAATCGCATAACCTATCCTGCTGCGTTTCTGAAAAGTGTACAACCTTTCGTTGTCAAAGTTACAAAAAACTCAATAAGAGACAATGTGGTTGCTGGCAATATACAACGAAAAGAATGCACATTATTCAGATGTTCATTCACTGAAGTGCTAACATCTAACTGGCGATCACTCAATATTTATCGCCAGGACCGAACAGGAAGAAAGAAACGGAAACCTGTTGAAATACTTTACGCTGAGAATTCTATATTGTACCAAAAATATAATACTGAATAAAGCTAGATAATAATAATAATAAAACAGTAAATTTACATGTGGCGCATATATATTCGGTGCCCTCTTGTACCAATATATATGTGTTCAAATAAATAAATAAAATTCACCTAATTCTGAATCAAAAACCAAATAAAGAATATATTAGGAATAGTCTATTTCAGGAGTTTATTTGAGCAGATAAATCATTAAAGATAATGAAATTCAGATAGGAGTGGTATAGTCAATTCAATTTCTTTATGTTTCAGCTTAGATAGTTCATACAGATATTGGTAAGTTAAGCTAATAGACAAAAAAAAGAATAAATAGATTAGGCGATAAATAGATAAGAGCACAGATGAAGCATACACAAAGAGTACAAGAACAATACTAAACAAGGATACGGATAAAAGTGATTTATATGTCACATACTGTCAAAATTGTTAATATATGTTCAAGAGTAAAAATAACATAGGAGTATGAAGCCACTAATGAAATACTAAAATGATGATAGTTATTTCTTTCTAATCTCTACTCAGAATTCAAATAAAATCTTACTCAAAACTCAAATGCATGTTGATGCCGAAAATATTATTTGAACATTGAGTCAGAATTTAATGGTAATTATTTTTCTAATGTAATCACTTTATTAAAAGTCAAATGGATATCCAGTGTCATTCTTTAGTAACTGACTAATTCTTGAACTGTTCAACTCAATAAATCAATGTTTTTCAAAAATAATATTATTGGTGCTGAAACTAATTCCTAATACATTAAATAAACAAAATTTATTCAAATGAGTACGTTAGATGATATTATTGAACATTGGTCTTATTTTATATTAGACGCTGTGGATTAATGACAATTTCATGTAGTCATGACAAAAGATAAATTATGAAAGTTGATTGAGTACTTCGTCATGTCGTTTGATTTTTTTATTTTTCGTTATTGATGCTCTTGATATTTCACTGTCTATAGTCTATAATTACGGTGATTTCAATGATTGCTACCTTTTATCAATCTACATATAAATTTATAGTAGATCGATAAAGATACATTCAATTTATTTTAATTTCGAATCCATAAAATTCTATTTTTTATCTACATCAACAGTAGACAAATGTCCATTATATGAAACTTGACAACAACAAAACATAACTCATAATTTTTCAGTGAATAGATAACCCAACTGGCAAAATTAAAATAATTTCAATGGTTAAGATCATGAGTCAGTTGAAGCTTGACCACCATGGAAAACCTGGAAGCACTGGGAGTTAGACATTAACACTGTTGGATGCCGGCCGTTTCAGTGGTCTAATGGTTAAGTGCTTGCGCGCGAAACCAGTAGGTCCTGGGTTCGAAGCTCGCAGAGGGCGAGGTCGTGGATGCCCACAATAGGACGGAACGGCCGTACAGTGCTTCCAGGTTTTCCATGTTGGTCTAGCTTCAACTGACTCATGATCTTAACCATTGAAATTACTATAATATCCACAAAACCCATCTGATATTAAAATTAAAATAGTTTTAAACAACTTCGATTTGAATCAATTAGAAACAATAGATGATCAGCAATTGGAAACAAAAAAATAATGATACGTTTAAACGAAAAATAAATTGACTGAGATTATGCTGAATTAAAAAAACAATAGTCCATTTTCACTTCATTTATAAGGGTTTGTATTTTCTCATTGTTTATGTTAAAGAATTCAATTAATCAGTCTATATTAGGATATTTACATTTTGAACAGATTCCCATGATATTATCATTTAATCGCAAGTTTCTAGTAAAACTAGATAGTAACTAGTGATTGAACATAGAAAACTAACCAATTACAGTTCTTAAAACTAACAATAGAAAAATAAAAACCTTTTAAAATCAAGTGAAAACTTACTATTTTTTTCAATATACTCTCAGTCAATTTCTGCTTTATTTAAACGTATTATTACTGTTTCGACTGGTGAAGTTGTCATAATTACTGGTTAGAATTTTATTCTTTTAGTCAAATGTTTCTTTTCTTTAACTGAGTACACTAATAAAAAAGAAAGGCGATTCAGCAAAGAAAATTTGCTTTCAGACGAATTCGTCTGTTTAGACTGTACAATATTATTTATAGTTACTTTGATTTACGAAACCCATTTCCGAACATTACCCTATCTGGTTGTCCAAAGGATTACAGAAGTAAATCAAAAGCACAGTTTTGGAGTACCTAGCCATTCATGGTCAATCCGTTACACTGAGAAGAATTGGATTAATAAGAATGCAAATAGAAAACTTATTTACGAAAGAGGCTATTGCTATCCACCAATTTAAGCCTAACCTTTACATACAAAAATAGTATCTTCAATTCTCCATTCTTCCATGGCCCTAACTTCCTTTTCTACCTCCCATAATCTGTCATTCCTGCTCTTTTCCAATTATTTTCACGACTATTAATCAGCAATTATTAAAAATTTTAATAATTCTGTTCCTAATAGCCATTAAATGGTTGACTATTTTATCCTACTACTTTTCCACTCGCCCATTATTACATAATTTCCTTTCAATATCTAAATTTTAATTCTTGAAGACATACCACTTCAAGATTTTTAATTGATTAGCACCTTTCTAACTCACTATAGAACACTATTTTAGCAAATAAAATTGACCATAAATATGATTGTCAAGCTTCAGTTATTAAAATCGTTGAATTGCCTTCCTACTTCTTCAATGATACAATAGGTCTCTTTCATATAAATACATTTGATTTGTGCTGACATTATGTAGAACATTCACCTCTGTGAACTAGGTTTTTGTGAGCTGATCAAGAATTAGATAAAGTTAAACTCATTAGAGTGGATATCTAGTTAGTGAAATATGTTAATCGACATAAATGTTTCTCAGTTATTCTAGTTATTTATGTGAAATGTAAAATACTGAATGATTGATTTGTCAGTCCACTAATTATAAAATAAATTTATATTTCCTTCCTCAAATAACCAACAGTTCATCATTATTTTACTAAGTCAGAAAAGAAGGAATAAATGAAATGTAAAAACATTCCCTATACATATCTTCTTTCATATAACACTTTTAATCTCTGAACTTATTTTCGATTTTTCTTATATTTATAGGTTTCTGCGATTATTATTGACTGTATTCTTCTGTGGTTTCGTTTTGTGTCAAATGGTGAATAGCCAATACAGAGAGGCAGAGTTTAATCATGTAGATCCTGATGGATATAATGCATTATATGAAGAAGATCCTAATTACATTCAAAAACGTGTTCAATTTCTACGTCTCGGCAAAAGATTAGCCAGGAAATCTGCATATCCTTATGTTGGTTAAACATTATGCTGATTTCTTTAAAAGATATGAAAAAACAACTGTTTAACAAAAATACAAATTTTTAAAATGAAACTAAATTAATATATAAGTAATTATTTACGAAACTCTGTCTTTTTATTCTAGTAATCGGTGTAGCATACTTTTTCATCTTATTTTCCGTAATAATGATCTAACCATCATATAACTTAATTATGAATGTAGATATATCTTCTTTAAAATGTATTCAATATTACAAACGACGAAGACTTAGTCTTATCCATCATCAAAACAAGAATAATTACATAAGGATTATGAAGGTTAACAAATAAAAAGAGGGTAACTTCGATACTATACTCTTCAACTCCACTTTTAATCATATAACTGATCGGTTCATTGAAATGATTTGATTTTGGTATCTTGTCATTGTTAGAATCATTGACCATTGTCATGTGTTACTAATCCATTAGTGTTACTAATACAATTCAATCTACCATGTTGTAATGTGAAAACTATTCTAGGTGATTCAATATTGTGTTTACTACATTGAGATGATAATTATTTTCAAAGAAAATTCTGAACCTAGATCTAACGCTAGTTGCATGTGAGCTAGCTCTATAGTAACGCTTCAGTCTGTCAAACCATGTGATGTGGTCTCGAACCTAACAAAGAACATAAGTTACTTCAATTTTGCATATACGCCTTGTTGAAGAGTATCAACCGGAGCGAAATCTAGATCAAAGATTTCCTTCTAATTACACACAATCGCCTGAAATATTAAATAAATTTAACTAAAACTGAAATAATACTCTAAATATTTTTAGTAAGTAATAATTATAATTATAAACTTATTGAACTATATGGTCATTAGAATATACAAATCCATGCGTACAGAAATTTAATCATTTAGAAAACTATAATTATTCCTACTATAATACGTGAATTTTCTGTACTTACTATTCTCTCAAATAAAAGTTTTGAATATCTCGTTAGTTTAACTGTGTATTTCTTTCATATTTATATTGGCTTTTTTATTTCTAACACTCTTATTTCACAAACATTCGTTCACAAAATGTCATTTATTTAAATTTAAACTATACAAAATGACTTTAAACTTAACCCCATTGCACACGTTAATGGCTATCAGCACTCAGTAGATAACTGGACAACGCGATGGCGTTTGAAGTGAACAGTAATGGGTTCAAGTCTTGGTGTAAACATCAACTTTGAGACCTAGGTGCAGCTGACGAGTCCGAAACAGGACGAAACGCCCATCTTGAATTCCACTACTAGCCATCATCTATCTTTGTTCATTCATTTGTTCGTGTTTTGAATATCTGGGTAAGAAGATAAACAATTTTATACCAACTAGGTGCATAAATCCATTCATTTAATCAAATAGAATCATTTGGAAGAAAAAAACCAAATCAAATAGGTTCAACTTTTTATGAAAAAAACCTTCCGAAGATTTTATTAATTTTATTTGTTTTACACTCATCTTACTTTGGAAGATGAAAAATCAACATTTTTTGTGTTTATAGTTTAACTAATACGGGATAACATTTAAATTGGTGATTTAATATAGAAAACTGATATAATGGTTGATCGTCTAATAATTACTTGATCTTACACTGATCCAAAGATTATGATAAATAGTCGACAAATCACTTTCATGAATAGATCAGATAGACTTTCATAAATATATATTTTAGTTGTTTACGATTCAACAGTATTTCAGTATGGAACACATTAATCAGACCTTCAACTAGTATTATGGTTGATAAATTTGTATTAAATCTTAAATGAATCAAGTCATCATAGACTGATAGCATTAAAACGATTGATAATTTGGTATAAGTATTTAAAAGTACATTATAATCAATATACGTGTAAGATGAATCGAGTAAATTTGTACAGGACACAAATATACCAAAAGAGATTGATCGATTGCAGTCTTAGACATCTAAGAAAAGATTCAAATAACCAATAAAAATGAGTCTAAGTGCACAAAATTCCACAAATCAGAGGCTATCTGTACTCAGTACCCAAATGGATAATGCATTGAAGTTTGAAGTGAAGAGTATTAAATTTGAATTTAAGAGTGAATATCAACTCTTGAATCCAGGTGTATTCAGTCAACGAGTCCTAAATATAAGACTTGTTCAGCGTCCTGCATTCCACTACCAAACATAATCCACCACTTCTATAAAACTTGCAATGAAATAGAAGACATCCTTACAGGATGTACATATGCTGAAAAATTGATTATTTGTAGTTTTAAAAATCTGGTTAGCGATTTTTTTGCGAGTTGGTTTTCTACGGGATGGAGTCGCTAATCTCATGCCCAACCCTCCTCCTTTACCCGGGCTTGGGACCGGCAGTAACTCTAGAAGGGCTACAGGCGGAGTTAGAGCTACAGAGCTACTCTCTCCCATCCTCTTTCTTCTGGCGGTCGATTGAATTATGAAGACCTAGACATCTGAGGGAAAACACGGCATACAATGGACAGCTCAGAACCAATTAGACGATTTGAACTTCGCAGATGACCTAGCCCTCGTATCCAATACACACGAACAAATGTAGATAAAGACAGCCAGTGTAGCAGCCGTTTCTTCATCAGTAAGCCTCAACATACACAAGGGGAAAACCAAAGTTCTCAAATACAACACGGAGAACGGCAATCCAATCACACTTGGTGGCGAAACTCTGGAAGATGTAGAATCTTTCACATACTTGGCAAGCATCATCGATGAACAAGGAGGATCAGATGCAAATGTGAAGGCGTGGATTGGCAGAACAAGGGCCGCAGTCCTACAATTGAAGAACATGTGGTATTTGTGGTGGTTGGTATTCAATGTAGTCCTTAAACTTCTTATACAGTTCGTTTTGATAACCGTCACTAGATAACGCTCAAACGGTATATTAATCAGAAGGCGATTACGAAGTGTTGATTACGTCTATTATGGGACCACACACAGACATCCCAAATTACAGGTGCGTTAAGCAAATATGAACGAGTTGTGCCTAAAGGCAAGCAGGTAAGTGAGCGAGCGAGTGAGTCAACGAATATGATTACGAGTAAGCGAGAACAGTTAAGCGAGAGAGAGCAATGAACATGAATAGCATGGACATATATATACATAGTGAAATAAATGAATCATCGAATCAATTAAGCGGTTAACAGTAAGGCTAGCAGCGTGAATAAATACGTAGTCAGTAAGCAATGTTCAAGCATACATGTTCATACATTCTCAACAATAATAAAGATACAATGATATAGATAAGTTGTTGTTATACGGATGACTCAGTTCGTTAATAAGTTAACAAAATGACTTATTCGAATTAAATGTGAACAAACTCAATTGCACGTGAGTTCCTACAAACTCAAAACAACTTTCCACCAATATCAAAGTCAGAATCTTTAATACAAACATCAAGATAGTTGTACTGTACGAAGCTGAAACGTGGAGAACTAATACAACCATCATCAAAAAGGTACAAGTAGTTGTCTACGCAAGATACTCAACATCCATTGGCCGGATACCATCAACAATAGCCTTTTGTGGGAGAGAACAAACCAACTTCCAGCTGAAGAAGAAATTAGGAAAAGACGATGGAAATGGATAGGACATACATTACGCAAATCGTCAAACTGCATCACGAGGCAAGCCCTAACTTGGAATCCTGAAGGGAAGCGGAAAAGAGGAAGGCCAAAGAACACATTACGTCGGCTAATAGAAGCAGATATGAAAAGGATGAATAACAAATGGAAAGAGCTGGAAAGGATTTCCCAAGACAGGGTTGGATGGAGAATGCTGGTGAGCGGCCTATGCTCCTTCACGAGGAGTAACAAGCGTAAGTAAGTTTTAAAAATCAATGGGAAGGTTCAAACAGCGATTACAAATGAAGTAAGAAAAATATCTTTCTGAAGATAAGAAATATAAAATTCAAAACAATCATGGCTAGCTTAAAACTTAAAAAAATTAAGAAGAATCATTCTGTCAAAATTTAATCAGATTTTCTATCCAAATAATTGTACTCTTTACATTTACATTATAACTTTACAGAAGATGAAATCGTGTATTATGCTTTATCTTATCTTACTTCTTCTATACTTATTACCTATTATTTTGAGATATGTGATAGTTTTAACTAATACACCGTTACACATCGTATAATTATCAATTTATTTACACATATAACATATAAATGGCACTTCCTATATTTCTTTCAAAATGAAACGACCGCCCAGTGCTTCCAGGTTTTTCATGGTGATCTAGTTTCAATTGGCTCACGTTCTCAACTATTAAATTGAAAATTATCTACTTATTTTAAACACTTATAGGTGGATATAGCCAGTACACCTATATATATCCGATTACGCATTGTAGTAAGTACTATATATATATATATATATATATATATATATATATATATATATATATATATATATATATATATATATATATATATATATATATATCATGCATAACAGAAATTTGAAGATCACTTACAGATTGTTGGATTTTTATACATTGAATAATGTAAATATAAGGTGTTTATTTAAACTGACTATTATATTAATCAAGTCTTATTTCGGATAAAGGACTTATTTTAAAATCGACTCGATAATCGTGAGTAAAACTTTAAAATTCAATGTTGATGCCATTGGTTACTTTAATTATTGCGAGCAATTATAAATACTGTTTGGTTCAGTAAGTTATTTACAGTTAATTTGATTTCATTACATAAGTTTATGTAAAAACAAACTATTGATATCATAAAATGCTCGATTTTTATTGCGATTATTAATATACTGTTAAAAATGTATGTGTCTTCACAAATATTGAATTCATTATATCCAACGAAATAGTTAAGTTTACTTAACTCAGTAATAGTATCAATAACTGGAAATTTGAAGTAATTCAAGGGGATTATCAGTCAGTCAAACTTGACGAAAAACCTAAAACATCAGTACATTGAGTAAAGTTTCTACACCCCATTGGCACAGCGAGATGAAATTATTAGGCCGAATCCCACAATAGTTTGGTTAGTAACAGTATCAGAGAAGATAAGAGAGATTAGACATCGAAGATACAACTCGAAAAGAAAGTATAAATTAGAGGA